CAGAGGACCGCCGCAAACACGTAACAATGGTAGCCGAAACGGCAGTTGTTACAAATGCGGAAAGGCAGGACATTACGGGCGAAATTGTCGCTTAAGCAAAAGCATTTTACCCAAACCGGAAGGGCGACGGGTGAATGCAACGGAAAGCCATTGCAATTATTGCAAAATGGCGATACATAAAAGAGAAGAGTGCTGGTTGCTAAACAGAAAAGGTAAAAGTGACCAAAAAACGGGGGAAAAAGAAAGAAAAATTGTCAAGTATGATAACAAGAAAATGCGTGCAAAGATTGTGACTTTACAAGTCGCGATGAAGAATATAGTCACGAAAAAAAAACTAAAGCGATAGAAGCACCAGAGCTCCATGTTACAGCGATAGATAATAACCAGACAAGCTTGGATTTAGTAAGCGTACCGATAGTCAAAACACAGAAGGGCATGGCCGAATTGCTATACGACACAGGGGCTACGATATCGCTAATAAAAGTGAAATATTTAAAGGAAAAAACCTTGGTAAACAAACTAAAAATGAAACCGGAGTAACGGGGCATACCGCGCAAGTAATAAGAAAATTTGACGTAACAATTAATTTGAAAAATAAAGAACTAATCCACCCTATATATGTTGTAAACAATGATTTCCCGATAAGTTATTAGGGAATACTAGGAAACGATTTCCTTAAAAAATACCACGCAATACCGTGTCATAAGGAAGGAAAAATAAAAATTGGGACGGACTCGATGACCTTGTATCCGTATCACGCGATAAGCGTGCCGCGATGCGAGACAATAACACAGGCGTTTACAAGCGTAAATCATGTAGGTATCGTGACAGAGAAAAGCACAGTCTAGACTTTTTATCGGGAACTGCTTAGTGCAACCCGAGAACTACGTGTGCTCCGTGAGCATAGTAAATACCACGGATAGAGAAGTGAAAATGAGCGTGCCGTTGGTAACGTTAGAAAAGTTACAGATAGACTCACAGGAGGCAGAAGCACAAGTTGCAAAAATAGAAGTAAAAAAGCCGGTAATAGAACGACAAGAAAAGGTAAAAAACGCATTACGAACACAACACTTAAATCAAGAAGAAGAAAGGAAATTAAAAGAAATCTGTGAGAATTACAGCAACGTGTTTCATCTACCGGGAGAAACACTGACCTGCACTGACGCGAAGTTACATTACATACCGACGAGGACGGACTCCAGACCGATAAATGTATAACCGTACCGACTACAAGACAAACAGAAACAAGAGGTAGATAGGCAAGTAAATAAAATACTCAAGTTCAATCTGATTAAACAGAGCACGAGTCAGTGGAACGCACTATTGCTAGTAGTGCCGAAAAAACTAGACGCGCCCGGAATACGCATGTTACGCGTTGTAATAGATTTTAGAAAATTAAATGACGGCACTATCGGAGATTCATTCCCCCTCTCGAACATCACTGATATCTTGGACCAGCTAGAAAATGCAAAGTATTTTTCGACTTTAGATCTTGCCTCGGAGTATCACCAAATATCAATAGCCGAAGAAGATAAACAAAAAACGGCATTTTCTACGTCATATGGACATTAGGAGTATTGTTACGTCCTGACCTACGGTTACGATCGGGTCTTAACGGAGGAACGCAACTTGACACACGACACTTTTGAGTATTATATCTCGGCACACTGACCTAATGAGATAAGGCAAGCATGCAAGTCGAGCGAGACTGTTCAACGACGTAGTCAAGTCAACGGTCTTGTCGATATTACTTGTCTGACGTCTTCTCACTCGTCGGTCCTCTTTTAGGTCTTAGAAACAAATCTAATTTACTTGAGACAGGATCTGGTGATCACGTAATGAGATTACAGGAATGAATTTTTAGGATGGAAATTCGAAGTTTAATTAGTTGAAGCCGTTTTCATTCTTATGAGCATATAAATCATTTTTATCCAAAGTATTAACATTTAGGTTTATCCAAAAATACTCTTACGCCAGTCGAATTAAATAATTGGACGTGTGATGAAGTTCAGTGTGAATTTGAGTATACATTGGCATTATTATCATGTTTGATTCTGGGCGTTCGTTATTAACATCACTGTTAGTATTTTTAATATTTTGAATCCTTACGTAAATGAGCACCGTTACTACTTAGGCTATTGCCGGATAGACGGGGTTTGGTACGCTTCGGTTCGCTCGCTCGACGGGCAGCGGCTCTCCGCCGTAAAGTTCGGTTTCGGATATCGCGTTGTTAGAATCACGGATGATTTTCAGAGCGATATGACAACTACATATGATTTGCTACTGCTGAAAGTTCGACAGTGGTGATTGGAAATCGTCAGCGGTTCAGAACAATTGACGTTGTGAAACACTAATCCTATAGAAATAGAAGTCAGCAGCGGCCCAGAACGACACACAAGGTCGTAAACTGCTAGTCCGACAGGAATAAAAAGTCAGCGGCGGCCCAGAACGACACACAAAATCGTGAGCTGCTAGTCCGACAGGAATGAAAAGTCAGCAGCGGCCCAGAACGACACGCAAGATTGTGAGTAGCTAGTCTGACAGAAAAGGAACCGGCAGCAGTTCGGAACGGTTTGACACCGCAAAACGCTAGTCCGGCTAGGATGTCGAGGAGAAAGACTTACTAAATGAAGCAGTTATTAATTAAATTGTCGAATTTAATCCTTTTCTTCCGAATATCAACCGTCTCGAAGAAGGTTTTACTGTGTGCGTGGGAACCTTAAATTTGTTTTGCAAAACTATTGCATTAGTAAGTACTCACTACTTATTGTTTACAGTAGAATGTCGAGATGAGTAATTGATTCGCTTCGCTCAAAAGTCAGGAGTCTGTCAGTTGAACTCAGGTGAGATTAATTGGTCATCTCCTCCGATGGGAGTTGTCACGAGTCGCACTGTTTTCTCGGATTTACGTGCCGAGATCGATGTCAAATTGAGAATCGTTTGGAATGTCGAATTTCAGACCGAACAGGAAAAGCAAGTATTTTTTTGTTCGACCAAATTGACTTTAAGTTAAATTGTTAAATTAAACTTCGAAAAATTGATTTGTGTGTGTGTGGACGAAAAGGAATAAAACTGTGGTAATAATTGTAATGCTGGTTATGGAGCGCGCTCTCCGATGTTCCAACGCCTTATATATGATGATCTCGGGGCGTTAACCTTTTTGATTTTTGCCAATCGTCTTTAGATTTTACTCTCCCATTCTTTACTGATTAAAATTTCGATCTTTCATTTGCTAATCCGACCAGGCAAAAAAACCAATCACCGACAATAATTCTTTTTGACTCACTCAACATTTGTTTAAACTTTAATATCTGCACGTGCAATTTCCTGTTTATTTTCGGTGCCATAACATTCCTTGCTAGAGATTAGCGGACCGTCTAAATTATCTAAGTTTATATTCGCAAATTAGGCTTCCGTTTCCGGCGCGATACGGTGTAGAAGTGGTGTGAGAGTGTGCAATTTTGGATCGAGAATACAATAGATTTAGAGGGGGGAGAGAGAAAAGAGAGTTTGAAGTGTGTGGTGGAGTGTGTGGAGAGTGAGTGTGAGAGAGGAGAGGAGGAAAAGTGAGAGAGTTAGAAGAGTGGAGGTCGGTGCAATTACCGAGTTGAGAGCGGGTGACAGGTTAGCCTTTAGGCTGCGGAGAAATTTCAGTACAAATTGACCTCTCAGAATATGTAAAATGTATACATAATATCACTGGATATCTCAGATAGAGTCGCTGACCTGACTGCTGGTCCATATATAGACCAGCCCTGCAGACAACGTAAAGTACAATGTAAAAAAATTTATAGAAAAGGAGTATAGATACGCTTCAAAAAATTCTCAAATAAAACAGGGAATGTTTATGGCCATTTGAAGCAAAAAACACAGGTGGTAATGTGTATGTATTATTACGTTACTTTATTCAAGTACGTGATATATAGTATAAAACGTTTTCAGCCTTTGTTTAGGCCTTTATCAATATATATCTACAAAAAATATAAATGTTAGATTCGCACATTTTTTAGAATATATAATTACAACTTACAGAACAATTAGATGTAAATAGTCGCAGAATAACGTACATAAAATGTTGTTAATGATAAATTCTTGAGTAACATGATTTTAAAATGGTAATACAAAAGCAACTAAGACGAAACAGAAATGTTCAACGGTTTAAATATAAATAAAAATGAAAGTCATTGCCATCTCTCAAGCCACACTATAAAGTATTATCAACAAAAGGT